ACACAGGAGCTCCTTGGAGCCAGTGCTGGGTCTCAGGTGGGAGCTGCAGGTATTTGGTGTGGTGGCTTTAAGGGAGGAGGGGAAGAGGAAAAGCAGAGCCCTGGCAATCAGAGGCTCTCTGATAACGGGAAGGGGAGTGGCCCCTGTGCTGCTGAGACACGTCTGAGCAGGAGCAGGAAATGATGTGGGGCTTCCTCTCCAGCATCACAGGATGTCTCACTGATAAGGGGTGTCCAGACTAAACAGAGCCACGCTGGGAGCTGCTGCCCTGGGCGTGCCTGGCTGTTCCCAGAGCACACAACCCAGGCACCAGCAGGGCAGGTGAACCCCTGGGCTGGGCTGGGTGTGCTCCAGCTCTGCCCAGCGGGGCACTGGGGCTGCTCCAGAGCCTGGAACAACAGGGAATTTCAGTCTCCTAAAACATCTCCTCCTTGGGAAGGAATAAATGAGGTTTCCCAAGCTAAAAGGCTAAAATCACCTCAAAAAGTAGCTGAATGTTCTGCAGGTTTATCTTTTCTAAAGCCAGGACTGGCAGGTTGGCAGCATCCCCTGGTGTTTGATTCCAGCCCTGTCATGGCCCCCCGAGCCCCCCAGGCCCTCCAGCTGTGCCAGAGCTGTCTCTGCCTCAAGAAGTGACAGTGATGGTGTAAGGAGTGACCAGAGTTCTGTTGCATTAAGGAATTCTTAGGCTGTGTCTTAACTCTGCTGGCTTTCACCTCCCTTGCTGGAGCTGGAGTCAGTGGGAAGTTTCAAAGCTCAGCAGCCCCTGCAGGGAAAAAAGTATGGAAAAGGGAATTCCTTCCTTGCCTCAATCCTGATAGTCTTACCCCTGAAGTGCACGGTTTTGTCCCTCCTCTCAGCCTGTGCAGAGCTCTGTGGTGCAGTGCAGGCTCCTGAGGCATCCCCGTTTGCTCTGCCCCCAGATCGAGGACCTGCAGGTGAAGCTGCAGCACGCTGAGGCCGACCGGGAGCAGCTCCGCGCCGACCTCCTGCACGAGCGGGAGGCCCGGGAACACTTGGAGAAGGTGGTCAAGGAACTTCAGGAACAACTGTGGCCTAAGTCGAGCAGCCAGCCCAGCAGCGAGAGCACCTCGAGCCCCATGGAGAACTGAGCCCAGAGCAGGGCAGGGCGGGAGCGGCGCCGGCAGGGCGGGCGCGGGGGGTGTGAGGTGTGAGGTGTCCTGGCACCCAGCGGGAACACGGACTCGCAGCAGTTGGAAGGCAAACGTTGTTACCCTCTAGAACAGAAGCACTGAATTCTGCCTCTTTTTTGTTTGTTTTTTTTTTTTCTCCTTCCCGATCCATATAGCACAACATCTTACTGTGCCTAGAAAACACAAAGTGTTTGTAAAACAAAATACTTTTAAGTCCACAGCGAGAATTTTCTACTGGCAAACTCGGAGCAAGCGGCGTCGTCCAGCTGAACCCAGAGTCCAAGGCGAGCAGGGCAGGGGGGTTGTGTTCTCCTGCCCGTTGGAACATTTTGGAATTGACAAAGCAAACCAACTTTTCTTATAAGCTATTTAAAATAATTCATTACACAGACTTGGTATTAAAAAAAAAAATTAACACGATTTTTTTATAATGAACGTTTAAAAGCAAAACAAAACAAACAAACAAACAAAAAAAAACAACAAACCTTCGATGCACAATTTTTAATGACTTTATAGGCTTTGGGATTCTTTGTGCAGAAGCCCCTCTCTGGTGATGGTGCCATGTCAGGAGCAGTTTTCCAGCCATCTCGGAAGCCAGCGCGGTTCCATCCCGGCACGTGGGGGTGGGGGAAGTTCAGAGTGCTTTTCCAAGTTGATTTTTTTTTTCCTTAGAAAGAATTATCTTAATTTCCCGCCCTAAACACAAGAAGAAGGGAAGATGCAGGAGCGTGCAGGGGGTGGGGAAGGAGGTGGTGTTGGACTGAGAGCCCCATGGGCCCCACGTGTGCAGCCCACGCCAGCACCCTTGGTGTGTGCAGAGACTTCATCCAGGAGCACTTGAGCTTTGGGAAAGGGAAGAAAGAAAGGGAGGAAGGAAATGGATGATCAGTTGGTAGAGGAACAAAGCAGAGACATGTGTGTGTTGAAGTCATCCTGAATTCTTCAGCTTTCAGTTTTCTGGAAAACTCATCTCGTTGCACCATCTCACCGTGAGTTCAGTATTTCCCTGCCCTCGTCCCAAGCTGCCCGTCGGGATTCCCGTGCCCAGGGAGGTGCAAGATTCCTGTGCCCAGGGAAGTGAAGGATTCCCATGCCCAGGGAGGTGCAGGGTTCCCGTGCCCAGGGAGGTGCAGGGTTCCTGTGCCCAGGGAGGTGCAGCCTCGGACACCACAGACCACACCACCGATGGTTTTGCTGCTGTGAATAAGCCACACGGTTTTTTTATTAAAAACCTTTTTGTTTTTAACAAGAAGCTCACTTTCATGTTGGGGTCCAAGCCGCAGCCCCGGGACACGACGCAGCCATCACTGCCCTGGGGGTGGTGCTGAGGTTTTTTTATATTTTTTTTTTTTTAAAAACCTGCACTTTGTCAGAATCTTACTCTGCATTTTATTCCCTGTTTCTGAAGCCAAGCATTCTAGATTCTGCCCTGAGAGCTGTGCAAACCATGAACCCAACCTGCCAGCACTGCCACCTCCCATCAGCAATCTCCACTTCACAGAGGAGGATCCAGCAGGTCCAGAACATCCCAAGCAGGAATTCACCAGACCAGGGAACTGGTTTTGTGGCTGTGTATCTGACCCAAGCTGGGGAGCAGCTGAGATGCTCCCAAAAGTGCTTAACAAATAAAGCTGGTGCTTTACTGATCAAGAGAAAATTTATTTTCACCCCTAAACACTCACCTCTGACACACTCAAATGTGAAAATGTGATCTGGGGCTGCAGATGTGCCTTCCAGCTCATTTTTCCTCTCAGCATCTTCTCTAGGCAATGCTGACACTTTTTTACCTTAAAAGAATACAAAGAAAAGAAATAAAAAAAAAAAAGAAAAAAAAGAGAACCCCCCCTATGCATCATCATACCCAGAAGTTACTCTAAACAAAGGAACATATTTCCAGTAATCTTTATTTGCTTTTGGACATTAATGCAAACTATGTAAGCTTCAAAATTATTTCCCAGTAGACAGAAAGCGGCTTCCAATCCTAAAATTATGGTATTTACTTACAGTACATTAGAGAGATTTTTTTTTTTTTTTAAACAAGAGCTGTTTGCTTGAAACCATTATAATAACCATTATAATAACTGTGAGCATTAACAAAGAAGTTCATATATATGTTTTAGGTACAAAAAAAAAGAAGAAATATGAAAGGAGTGGAATTACTGGGACAGTGTAAAACTGTTGGGAGCAAGAAACAGTCACACCAAGTCCATGACCTGAACCTGTCTGTGGATACAGGGGTTGGCCCTTGTGTGTTTGGGAGGCTGGAGACTGGCTCTAGGTGCAGATCTCCTTCTAAAGTGCAATGCAAAAGGAATTTTGATTATGCTTGAGCAGGTTTGTTTTTTGTTTGTTTTTTTTTTTTTTTTATGTGGGGTTTTATTTTCTTTGTATGTTTTTTTTTTCTGCGATTATTAAATCATATGCATGGATTAAACTCTGCCATATAGTCATTAATGGGCATTATTACTGTCTTATGTAAAGGGGTTCTTTTGTTATGCAGTATGCAGAAAAATGTTCTCAGCCTTATGATTTCCAGAGCTGTGTTATCCACTTATTTCTTCAAGGGAAACTAAACAGCTGTGTCTGTCGTTACCATTCTGTGCATCTCGAGTCCCTCGTGCTCTGCTTTGCTGCCCTGCTGGGAATTACACAGAGAACAGCCCTGGCCTCCCTCAGGGACTGAGCCCTGGCTTTGCAAATTCGGCCTGTTTGGGTTTCCCCTGATCTCTGATAGTGTCTCTCCCCTTATAATTCAAGAACAAAAGGCAGCCTGTCCATCTCCAGGTGTTTTTCCCCAGGAAAAGTGACTCTCTTACCTGTGGTTTCCTTTCCCGTGTCCAGGGGAGCTCGGTGGTTCCCTGGGCTGGAGGCTCCCACCCTCCTGAAGGAAGGGAACCTGCAGGATTTTCAGAGGAGAAACAAGAACAGTGTCACCAACAGCCAGTCACCCCAGGCAGCCTCCCCTGGGCTCAGAGGGGCAGGAAAAGGCTCCAGAACGAAATTCCAGCTGTTGGTTTCCTGTTCTGCCCCGGGTTGGTCACTCCAGGAGGGCAGTGCCTGACAGGGGACTCACCCTGCCCCAGTTAAGGCTCCACAATATTCAGTCCTTGGGAGTGAAAAGCCATTTCCATAAATGAAGGTTTGAAATCAGTGAGATAATTAAGGGGCAAGAAAGGTGGGGACAAACATTGTCCAGCAGCAGCCAAACCCCAGGAGGGGCTCACAGGGAATGGCTTAAACTGTTGGGAATCTCCTGAACACATTTAACAGTTAAATTGTTATTTCTGCAGAGTGTGTAACGTGTTTCTAATTCAGAATAATTAGAACTGTCCCTGTGGCAGCCCCAGAGACACTGATGTGGGGAGGGGGCTCTGCAGAGACAGCCCCCGTGTGAAGGTGCTGGAGGAGAGGGAGCTCTCTGTGTAATTTCTGAGGCTGCAGCACCTCAGTCAGTCCCACTCACATGGAATTCTTTCCCTGCTGCACTCCCAGGGCTCTCCAGCCCCGAGTGCAGGAGCTGCCACATCTCTCACTTCATCTGTGCTTTAGTTTCCTTTAAGAAGTTCAAAGGGAGAAGAGGTGTTTCATACAGGCTGTTGACTCTCCCTGTACTTACAAATATATTACTACTTGTATATTCAGTTTAATTACTCCTTGTTTCTATTACTGAACGAAGACTTAACGAAGGGAATAAAAACCAACAGCAATAACATTCATATCTATGGAGCAGCTAACTCTATACATAATATTCTGCTTTTCAAACAGAACTAGCCAATGTAAAAAAAACCATTAAAAGTAAATTCAACATGTAAATACTTTTTTTCATTTTACACTGTTGTATTATAAGTGTATATGGTGTTTACTTTTTCAAAACTCTTTCTTACCTGGTAGTTGTCTTGTTTTATGAGTTGTGTTTTTAACTGAGAAGAACCTTTGCTGTCTGTTAGGAAAAAAAACAAAACAAAATCTTTTTGCAAGTTTTCAATGTGGGTTACAACCTTTCTCCATCATTTGCATTTTACTTGTCCTTATTTTCACTGTAAAGTATTTTATTACCAAAAGGTTGATTTTGTTCCATTCTGCCCTCTCAGCAGTCATGTGTTTTAGAGAGAAGTTTTTTTTGGTTTTTTTTTTTTGTTGGCTTGGTTGTTTTGTTTTTGGGGTTTTTTTTGTTTTGTTTTGTTTTTTTTTTAAAATCAAAAGAACTCACAGAAATGACATTTTTTCAATTGAAGAAAAATAAATCTTTACATTTATAATAGCCAATAGCATTTCAGCACATTTTTGTTATCCTGGTCTCTCCTATGCTGCTGCTAATGACAATATTATGACTTACTCTACTATTCTAGAACTATTTTTATGTAAGTAATGTATGCTTTCTTGTTTATAAATGCCTGATTTAAAAAAAAATAAGAAAAAAGCTTGGCATATTTATCTATTTCGCTGTGTACCTTGATAGTCCTTTTCCACCCCCTTTTCCACATCCCCTCCCCCCCAATGCAGATAATATTGTAAAATAAAGGACTTTATGAGATTATGTATGAAAATAGCTATGCTTATATACCACAGTGACTGAATGTACAGTGTATAGACGCATTACCGAAAATAAAATTGTTTGTCCAGAAAACAGTGACGGGCTCTGGGCTGTTCTTGGGGTGTCCCGGGCTCAGCCCCCCAGATGTGCTCAGGCAGCCCCTGGTCCTGCTCAGGGAAAGAACCTTCCCCAGATCCTCTGCAGGGACACTCCTGGAAGGGGACTGGAAGCGAACTGGGAATCCTGCATTCCACTGCCCGGGGAAACTGGGACACTGGAGTGAAATTTCCTTGGGATAGTGAGAATTGTGAGCACAGAGGGGTTTGTTCCGGGCCAAAGAAAAAGAAATGCAAGAGGGGAAAATACAAAAAGCAGAAGATGGAAACATATGTGAGAGTAATTCTCTCCTGGGTTTCTGAGAAGTGGCTGCAGAATTTCCACAGCCCCGGGACGGTTCTGAGATGCCCCCAAAGAGCAGTGGAAAAGCCAGAGAATGAGCAAAGGGCTTGAAAAATAAACCTTTACTTCTTATTTGTGCCTCAGCCAGCCCTGCTCTCCAGGGGTGGGGGCACATCCCAAACACAGGCCCACGTCATTCCCTTGGGAAAGGCTCCTGGGCCCCAGATCCCACCCACTGCTCCTGGGAGTTTGGGTTCTAAAATTCAAAGTTCATTGACAGTTACCTCCTGCACAGCTGACACATCTTCTCAAGGTTCCTGATGTTCTTCAGCAGCACACTCAGAGGAACTTGGTTCCACAGGCTCCGTACACAAGGAATATGACTTCCATAGGAATTCCTCTGCCCAGTGTTCCATGGGATCTCTCAGCATTTGGGACCATTGGAGGAGCTGGTGCAGGGCAGGACTCAGCCCTGAAGGAACGAGCTGGTCCTTCCCAGAGAATTCCTTCCCATGGAATTCCTGCTACAAAACCAACACCAACCCAGATTGGGTTGGTAACAGCAGAGGCTGCAAACATCATTCTGTGCTCCATCCCCAAGGACCTCTGAGTGCAGCAACACAAACTGGGAAAGCCCAGGCCAGCTGTTGGGTGTTTGTGGTTAAGGGGGTAACTGGGTATTGAAAATTACTAGTTTATTGATTTCCTAACTGAAATTATCTATTTTAAATTTTATTAACAATAATTTTATTACTATAACTTCAATTTACTCAATATAACACCCAGAACACTGGGAATGAGACCTGAACCTCCTGCAAGGAAGGGACAAAGGTGTGGAAAATGCCGGGAATCAGGGAGGCAGCAGAAGCCCTGGAGTGTTCCTGGTGATCTCAGGGAGCTCCAGGCACTGCCAGGGAAGAGCAGAATCCAACCAACCCCAGCTGGGTGACGTACACGCCCCTGGAATTTTTATGAGCTGGCTTATGTGCACTCCAGCCTACCTGACTGCACTGCAAATTCCCACACACTTTTATTTGGGAGGGAACAGTTTCCACAGCTCCCTGGGCTGGGCTGAGGGAGCAGAACTGTCCTGCACAGCATCTGGGGGGTCTCTGGCTCATGGTTTGCAATTCACTTCTGTGTTTGTTGAGTCAGCTCCTCGAGGTGGAACCTGGAGAGCTTCATGCTTTGAGTGCTTCCCCAGAGCCATCCTGGCCCAGCTCTCCCAGTCCTCTGGATCCTCCACCTCCCACCCCAAGGCTCTTCCCTCTCCCTTACCTGTGACCTGCTGGAGGAAAACTGCACAGAACAAGAGGAAAACCTGCAGGGCTCAAAGGAAAATGAGGTTTTCCAGCCTCAAAGGAGGTCAGATGTGCAGTGTCCCCAGTGACACTGTCCCTGCTGGGGCCTCCGTGGATCCACATCCCTGTTTGCTCATGGTCCAAGCAGGAATCACCCACCAAACCTCTCCACAGAGGCACTGGGGGCCTTTGCAGTGTCAGCAAAGTGTCCCTTCCCAGGCAGTGAAGCTGTTCAGAATTCCTAAACCCAGCTCCTGGATTTCAACATTGCTTTGTGAGAAGAGTGACCAGTTCCTTTAGTCACCTCTCCAACCCATGAGGGGAGTGCAGGAGCAGAGGGACTGATGAGGGGGAGGCACCAAACCCCTCCTGTTACATCTCCTTGCATGTTAAACCCCAACCCTGTGCCCCAAATTCCAGCCCCTGCCTGGCAGCAGCTCCCAGGGCAGGATTGCCCTGCAGTGCCAAGGGATTCATCACACAGGGCAGTTTTAAGCAGTGGAGCTTTCCTAGTCCTGGCTCTGCAGTGTTCCTGCAGCTGTGCTGATGTCAGCCCTGCTGCTCCCCCTGCAACCCTCTGCACGGGAAAACCGGGATGGGATTCCGGCTACACCAAAGAAAGGATGTGGGATGGGATGTGAGGCCGTGAGCAGACACAGAGATCCCACCTGGGCCTGGGGCTGTTGGATAACAGGTTCCCTGTGGGAATTTCTGAACTCCTCGTGCCCACCCCAGTCCCGCTGCTGTTGGTGGATTCCCAGGAAGTTTCCAGGGAGCAGCAGCTCCCACTGCCCTGCCCAGCCCGGGGCACAGCACACACAGCCCTGTGCCCAGCCCGGGATCCCACACTGCTCCATTCCCGGGGCACACACTCCTGAGGGAGGAACTGATTCCCTCCCTGCACTCCCTCCTTCCCTCCCATCCCTTTTCCCACATCAGCAGCCCGTGGCTCAGGCCCTGCTGGTGATGGATCCCTTGTAATTGCTCTGAATGGATTATCCCAGCCATGGAGAGGCATTCCCAGTGCACAGCTGGAATCAGGAGCACTCACACCCGGGGAAGGACTCGAGCAAGAGACAGCTGGCTCTGGCCCCTGCCTTGTCTCTCTGCTCTTGTATTAAGCCTAACTCGATTTATTTATATTTTTAATACAATAATATCTAGGACAGCCACTGAAATCAGGGTCCAGATGGGCTCAGTGCCATCCCAACCCCCAGAACCAAACTGTGCCTCTGACAACAAACAGCACAACTCAGGATTGACCTCCCACGCTGCTCAGACCTTGCATTTAGCCAAGTAAGAATCCACCCCTTTCAGTGGGTAACAGTACCCAAAAACTGGGAAATCAATCCATGCATATTCTGGCAATTACTGGCTAAAAGACATCAGATGGAATGCTTCTCTCCTTACCTTACTGCTGCCTTCCTCCCTCTGCCCAGATAAACTGTCAGCAGTCTGTTTACCAGGATCCCAGTGACACTCTAATTTGTATGGCTGGGGGGAGAAAAAACATGAATAAACAAGTGTGAGGCAGATTGTTACACAGGAACAAAATCCAGCAACTGGATCTGCTGTACATTAATTTTGTGCAATTTTCTGTAGCAGCCCAGTACCGAGGGGCAGCAGATCCACATCCACGGGGCTTAAACTGGAAATGGGATCAACATCAAAGTGTTTTGCCCTGCAAAATTTCATTGGGGTAACATAAGGAATAAAGGGAAACAGCAGTGCCCTGATAGGACCCAGCAGGGGAAAGCTGACCCTGTTCCATGTTTTCTGCCACTGGAAGGTCTCAGTCACTGGGGTTTCCTCCTCCAACACCAGTTTTCCTCTAGGATTCCTACACTATACACAGCAGCCTGTGGGCAGGGGAGAGGGGACAGTGGATTTGGGAGCCACAGTGACACCCTGGGCTCGTGCAGCTGGGAGATAACGTGCTGTGCAGGTCACTGGCTCTTAAGCACTGTGTTGTGTCTCACTGCTTAATTACAGCTGATACACAGGCCATAATATCGCTTATCGTTAGCCAGAGGATGACAATTACAATTTAAGATTAAACTGTTTCCTTTTTTCCTTCAGCCAAGTCTCTGTGACACTTCCCTGCCCAAGAAAAGACTTGCACATGCAGAACAAATCCACATGTTAATTGGTGATGTGGCCTCACAAGGATGTGTCATTTTGGGAGCACAAACTGCACGTGAACACCACGAGCACTGACAGAGCCCTGAACCTGCAGGGGCAGCAGGGCAGGCCTGGGGAGCCCCAAGGCAGCACTAAACCAGTGAAATCCTGGGATGTGCAGGTTCCAGCCTGGGCATTGCCCAGAGCAGTGTCTCAGCCTGCAGCCAGCCCAGTCCTCCCCTTCAGCCACCCCTTCTCCAGTCAGCCTGCACTCCCTCAGCCTCACCCCTCCATCCCTGTCCCTGGCTCTGGAAGGGCTGTCCCAGTGCTCTGGGTGACCCGGGCAGAGCACCCACCCTGCCCCTGCCCCTCTCCTGCACTGCTGCAGAAACAGGGCTCTGGCTCACACTTGATATGAAAAAAGGTTTCCTGGAATTTCAGAGGGCTTTTGTCAAGAGCCTTTGTCAGGGCTCCTGTTTCAGAAATGGACACAGCTGACAGAGATCCCAGAGCTGGAAGCAGTTTGGACTATTAAAGGATCAGCAAAAAACGCTGAGTCTGCACAAGCTGAACTGTCATTAAGTAGCTTCTCCCTCCCCACAGAACAGGGCTGTGTTACTGTGCACAAACACCACGAGCACGCAGAGACTGGAAAATATTCTGCACTAAAACCCACAGAGGCCTGAGAGCAGGTTTAACTACTGATCACCACCAATAAAGCTTAAAGACTGAACAGAGACTGCATTTCTGCACCTCTGCTGAGCATCTGAGATGCCCCCAGAGCAAAGCCTTCCCCTGCTGAACACAACTGTCATCACACAGGGTTGGGATGCCTCGGGATGTCAGAGGGCAATGGTTTAAATCTTGTGCCCTGTATTTTGTCAACTCCCATTTATCCCACCCAGCACAGGGGTATGACACATAAATCTTCCAAAAATGTCTTCTGATCTTTCACCTACAGTAGATTAAAAATAGCCCCGAGCAAGAGCTTTTAGCATTTTGTCATAGCAATTTCTCCATCAAACAAGATAAATCACCAGCTCCATGGGGAAGGAATGAACCCACCCAGAGACCTGATAATGAAAGAGGCTGAGTTCCACCTCCAAGAAGCAGGAGTTGTGCTCCTGCTGGAAATCCCCACTGAGCTCACGTTGCAGCCCAGGACACGACAGGCCCATCCAGGGAGGCTTTTCTTTCCTCCCTGCACACCTTCCATTTAAGCCTCAGAACAGTTTGGGGAGCCCAAGCAAAAGTCTTGAGCCCTGTTTTGGGTTTTGCAGTCCTCTAACACGGCTTTGGACAGAATGCCCATTGCCAGTTTTGTTGAGACAACAACAACATTAAATGAAAGATGAGCAAACAAAGGAAAACTTGCTCATCACAGTTATACTGAAAGATATCTGTGATTTCTGTCACTCATCTTTTGGTATATTGTTGGTTATTCACATTTGGATAGAACTTGGAGGATGGAAGGGAGTGTGAGGTTCAGCCCCAGCCCCAAGTGGTTTGTGACACACCAGGGATGCCAAGGGAAGAGAAGGGCATTGGGAAGGACTGACCCCTCTACCCCACACAAGTAGGTTATGGGAACACAGCACATCCTCCAGAGCCCTTCCAGCACTGGAACAGGCAGCATTCCCCCTTTCCTTCCAGCTGCCAGTCACCACAAGCCCATCTTGTCTGTATCCTCAGGATAAATCCTGGATGCATTAGGGACCAAAGGGCTCTGACACTTCCAGCTCCTGCCCACTCAAATCCAGGAACAGAGGGGGATTTCTCCCTCTGCTCATGGAGCTGTGCAGGACCTCCTGTCCCTCCCACGGCACGAGGATCCAGTGGATCTCAATAAGAGGCCCAACATTCTGCCTGTCCCTCTGTCCCTGCCCTCAGCCCCACACCACGTTTCCAGGTTATAAGCAGTTTATATGGAGGCAATGAACTATTCTCAGGCGTTATAAACGTTTTACAGGTCAGGGCACAACACAATCATTTACCAGAGCAGCTTTTAATCATTGACCAGCTGGGGCTGAATGGGGCTGGGTGTGACCCCAAGGCCTGGCATCGTGGCTGCCCCACTGGAGACTGGCCCAGGGATCCCACAGTCCAAGGATTAACCACACACCCAAGGGCAGGGACAGCCAAGGTTCCCAGCCAGGAGCTATGACAGGCTGGAGTCACAGAACCACAGTCAGCACAGGGAAGTTCACTCAAACCTCCTGATTTCGTGACCCAAATGTCTCAGATCTGACTGTTCATTATCTCCAGTTCCAATGCTGGAAGCAATGGGATGTTAAACACTGGTAGGGATATCAGGGATCACACCAAAGCTCCTGGTATGGTGCTGCAATCTTCAAGTCCCCTGAATTTCAGGCATCCTGGTGCTTTTCTTGAACACCCAGGAGTGTTTCCTGCCCTCTCTGGAAGGATACAAAGGAACAGCTTTTCCTTGGCACTTTTAGTGGGATGAGTAAGAAAGTCCTAGGTGAGCTCAAACTGCTGAATGTCCTGGTATTTTCAGACAGCTCAAATGCTTCTACATCACAAGAACATTATGGAATACAAAACATCTCTTTACTGTAAAACTGACACTATTTTGCCCTGGCAACAACCTGCCCATTGATGGAGTTTTTCCATGGATTTCTTTTCCCCTCAGCATGAATTCCAATCCTGTGCCCTTATGCCATATTTCAATTATCCATTACACAAGTGATCTTCCTGTGTTAAATCTGATTTAGGGGGAGTTCACAACACGGGGCATCTGCACAAGAGCCCTCCCTGCAGCAAACCCTCTTCCCCTGCCAGTATTTCCCAAGGTCAGGACTCCTTGGGATTTGCTTTCCCAGCCTCTCCTCCCATAACAGGTGGGTGTTTTCCTCATGGAGCTGTGCAGCAGCACAGCCCATTTCCACTCTGACCATCTTCTGTCCTGCAGATTCATACTTAGGTGATAAATCAGCCACCCTCCAGCTCTGATCTTTGAGCTGACAGAGCCCAAGGGTTGCTGCACACCCGCTGAAGGGGCTGCTCTCACTCAAGCACGTGCTGGAACACTTCCCTGAGTGGAGAGGGGTGACCCCTGGGCAGGCTGGCCCTCAGGGTAACCCTGGAGGTACCACAAGTGTCTGGGCTGTGTTTGTGCAGCCTGATAAGCTCTAATCTGATCGAGACTTCCCCCCACGGGCTGCCTGCGTCAGCCAGGGGATATTCCAAGGGTGCTGCTTATCTGGCTGAGCACAAATGGAAACTCATTCAGGGAACTCAGAGATAAAGCTGGGGAGGGACACAGGAGATGAGGTTATCACAGACACAGGCAGGCCTGGAAAGCCCCACCTCGTCATTAGAGGGGCAATTAGAAGATAAAGTCATGATAGACCTTCAGAAGTTGGACAGGTGTCTCATTCCAGTTTGAGCCACTGGATGTAAAGCACTGATGAGTCCTCAGAAATCTGGGTCCCAATGGCACTGATTTCAAAGTGCAATCAAATTTATATTATGCTCTTCTAAGAAATTGTTCCCATTCATACTTCATGAGTCGTTGGAACAAATGAATCTGCAAATTTAGGTTATAAAGTGAAGAACCATGAGGGAAGCACGATCCATATTTCACATTGTGATGGAACACCAGCTCCCAGAAGGATCCCAGCACCAAAAATGAGCCCTTCAGTTTGGGGTGGGACAACAATTAAGGCACCTTTGTTCACTCCCCATACAGTGAACACTCCTGTCCCTCTCCAGCAGGCTCAGTGACTGCTCTGGGGACCCACTGCCTCCAAAAACGTCTCTCTAAGTTAAGCCACTGCTGACTAGCAATGAAACTTCAAACAAAAATATTTCCCTTCTCAAGACACACCAGGGCTAAAGGAAATCTAAAACAACTCTTTCTTCTTCCTGTATCTTGAGAACTCCTCTGCAGCAGAGCCCCAGCCCTGCAGGAGGGGCTGTGTGAGACCCAGCCCAGGGCACTTTCATTTCCCCAGCACTCAAACGCTCCAATTCCCTCCCTCCCAGCAGAGCTGGGCTCGGCTCAGCCCCTCTCTCAGTTCTCAGAGGGTTTGTTTCCCACAGCTGCTCTTCGGCCAAGCTGTGAATGAACCTGAAAATTCATTTGAAAGCCCCTCTCTGGTTTCTCGTGCTTTCACAGTCACAGAACAGCTCCTTCCTCAACACTTGCACCCCTGCAGGGAATTCCCCCGGCCCAGGGGGAGAGTCACCAGGAAGGCTGGGAGACCCCGAGAAGGGTTTCATCTCCAGTGAGGTACAGGGTTAAGGTTCTACCAGAACCCAGCACAGACTCAGCCCCCAAGTTCACACCCCAGAACCCCAAGGGGAGCTCTCATTTTTAATTCATTTTGACAAAGCACACAAACTTCGAA